TTGAAGGGTGGGATATGGCGTGAATTTACTGGGTACGGACGAATAACACCTGAGTCCTCAGGAATGGCAACACATGGGAGGTATCATGGGCGAAACAGTATACTCTGTTATGTCCATACTACTGCTCATGTCTATAGGCGACGGTTGCCACTTTGCATCAGGTGGGCCGCTTGTTTGCCATTGTTTGCCAATTTCAATATCAATTTATTGAAATTTATTTCAAGAGAAACCCCAAAGTACTGTATTTTAGTTTTTAAATTTGGTTATGCCACAATTGAAGTCTTTTTTGTACAATTATCTTAAATTATTCTTTATACAATTGGTAGGGTTTAGTCTCGTGTCGTTTCTTTCTGTTACCTATTTTTTTTTTTTATAGGTGATAATGGTATGGTAGCCCCGCCTGCGCTAACGGTATACGCTTGCGGAGCACCAATGAAGGGTGATAGATGAGAATGAAAACAGGCCAGTTGGCCCATCATGATGAATTCATCAGGAATTAACCATGATAGTTTCCAAGGAGAATCGCGAGGATGTCGACCTCGTTGGGTATATTGCTAGCAATGGGAATGTCAGTCTCCATTACTAACAATCCCTTTCCCCCCCCTGTTACCTATTAAAGATGCATTCTTTTCTCTGAAGCCATTTATAATTGTGACTAGTCTCCATAATTATCTGGTGGTGTCTGAAATCTCTGTCACAACCACATCTTATGGTTAATTAAATAATGTTTTTAGACAATAAAAAATAATAAATAAACAATGGCGAATCCTTGGAAGCAAACCGTTCTTGGCTTTCTTTGTTCGCTCAATGCTTTTGTTTATGTGCAAATGACGTGAAAATTTGCTATTCTTCTGTGAAATAAAAGGGGTTTTGGGGTGTTTGTACAAAAATAGCATGAGATAGCTTGAAGTTTCACCTAATTTACATTGTTCGCGTGAGTAAATCTGGTGAAATTCGATTTAAAAATCATTTAAAATACATACTGTGCAAAAAATGACTCCTTGTGTATGAACTCTACCTAATTAGAAAGATGCCTATGTTCAGCGGTGAACAGTTGGTGGCCGGTATGATGGTGATGATATGAAATCGGTAAAAAACAATTCTAAAAATGTTCTAGAAAGTTCAATATAAAACTGTATTTTTGCTATAATAGTTAAAGTTGTATGAAAGTTTAATTACCCAGAAGTTAGCTTCAAAACTGTAATAAAACTATTTACTACAGTTAACTAACACACTTTTATGGCATAATTTAACTTTTGCGTATGGCAACTGAAAGAAGTAATTAGATTTTGCTCTGCGGAATAAAAAAAATATATACAGCGACTTGTGCCCATGTCAAATGTTAAATTCACCAGAAATGGTAACAGTTGACGAATGCCTCTAACTACCCTATTAGAGATTGTAGCCGTGAGTAATTTTTTTAAAACCTCTTCGATCATTACAAAATTAATGTCATGATATATCGTATATAATTGGGGGTTGCCAGTAGTTGCCACGTTTGGCAACCGTCGTTATGTTTTGGTGGTATTTTAAGAGGAACGCATCTGCCTATCTCTCGACCATTAAGTTCTCTTAGTCGCCTCTTACGACACCTACGAGAAAGGAATAGGTGGCCCATTCTGTGCCGGGACCACACAATGTTACCATTTCTTTATAATCCGATTGAAAAAATAAACAAGTAATTATGGTATTACTTGGCATTCTATTTACCCAATAAGTACCAGGCATTATATTTATGTATGTGTGTACACAATACACAAATAAACAATTTCTTACATACATTGAATAACACATACAGTTTCTAGTCGCTTAGTTTTATATTTCTTCTTTTACATTCTTTTTAAATCCGACTCCCAAAAGGAAGTAGTTCTCAAATCGTAAATTTGCACAAAAAAACATACGTATTCAGATAAAGGAGTAAAAATGTTTAAATTAATTTTAAATATATAGAATTTCAATTACCGCCATCTATCGAAAAGTTTTGAAAGCTCCAAGTAACTTGTCATGTTACGCATCGCACCTTTGAATAGTAGTACAGTTTCATTAGCAAGGTCCAGAATGAAAACAGTTCCTATTATTATGAGCAGATGTCGCTACTTGTACGAAATCGTTTGTGCGTCCTGCGTTTAGTTGTTTCGTAACTTCAGTGAGAAATGAAAGGAATTTTTTTTTTATACAATTTATAATGGCAAACAAGCTGACGGTCCACCTGATGGAAAGTGATAACCATCGCCTATAAACATGAGCAGTACCATGGACATAACAGAGTATACTGTTTTGCCCATGATACCCCCCATGCGTTGCCATTCCTGAGGACTCTGGTGTTATTCCTCTATATATAACAGTATCAAATCATAATAATTTAAGATATATAATATATTGTAGCAAGCGTTATTATCTGTAGCTGTGAACGAGAAAACATTAACTTGGTATTACTTTCATGAAATATTTTTATAAACGCAAATGATTTTCTATTAAATCATAAAGTTAATTCGCGATAAACATAAATTAAATGATTGTATTTCCTTTTGCTACAAACAGTAATTGGGATTCTCATTTGACTATTATTTCTATTTTTTTTTTGATGGGTGAAAATAGTGTGGTAACCCCGCCTACGCTAACGGGATGCGCTGGCGGAGCACCAGTAAAAGGTGATAGATGAGAATGAAAACAGGCCAGTTAGCCCATCATGATGAATTCATCAGATATTAACCATGATAGTTTCCGGGGAGAACCGCGAGGAGATCGATCTGATTGGGTATATTGCTAGCAATAGGATTCTCAATCTCCATTACTAACAATCCCTTTCCCCCCTATTATTTCTATTTAAATAAATTAAATAAGTGATTGTATTTCCTTTTGCTACAAACAGAAATGTTTAGTGTTTGAATGTATCACACTATTTTCATTTACAAATTTACAAATTAACCAATATCAATGTTTTACAATACATTAAACAATTGTAAGTAATTGTATTCACTTATGTAAAAGAACAATAAGGTATTCAAATGACTGATCAGTATTTTTACTAGAACACATTATTAGATTAACTATTGTACAATGTTAAGGTTCAACATGATTATAAGTGAGTTAATTTATAATACTTAGTTATTATTAGTAAATTGTAATAAAATAAATAGAATAAATAAATAAAGTTGTGAAACTGTGAGCGAGTCCACGAGCGCGCATTTGATTTAACGGAAAAAGCATTCGTGCTCTCGAACATAGTTATAAGAGTATAAACACGGAATGTTCTGTCCAATAGTGACCGAGACACTGTACAGTACTGATGCCTGAGGGCTATAAATGGAAAGTAAAGAAGTAAAATGGTTCGAAGAAGAAAAGTATAATTTGTTATAGTTACAAATAAAAAAGGATGAACCAAAACAAAACCAAGTTATATATAATTAAAATAAATAAAAATTGGAATTACTTATCACTATGCTGACGTATTATGTATATATGTATATATATTTATATATGTTTATTTGTGTATATATATGTATGTGTATATATGTGTATATGTATGTATGTGTAAGTATATGTGTATGTTTACAGGGTTTATGTATTTTATGTAATTTATAATGTGTAGTTTGTATTATACTTTGTGTATAAATATCTTATGTGTTTATACAATATATACAGATCGTATGACTGCCTATTTTTATTTTTAAAATAACACAATTTACATGAAAAGATTTTGCTGGATGAAATCTCTTATTAGAGATAAGCTCGCCTTTGTACATTATGTTTCAAATTAATTGTGATTAACATTATGTTTTGTGTACAATAAAGAATAAAGAATAATGTAAACATGCAATCAATAGTTAAATACACTCACATTTACAAAAACTATTTACTTTATATTATTTATAGTTTTATACTTTAGTTATTTTAGTTTGAACAATGTTGAGCGTGGATTTCATTATATAACACAGCGGGCTGCAAATTGCCAACTTCAGCGACCACACGATGCTCAAGCCTTCTCATTATAATGAAATTCCTATGTAACACAACACATATGTAACAATTTATATCTAAAATTTAGAATTTCTATCAAGTTTTGTACATACTGTGATGCAAGTATCATATGTTTTTGTTTGAATATTTTTTTAAAGTATTTTTTGTTATCATGGGCGAAACAGTATTTTGTTTATACAACTTAGAATGGCAAACAAGCTGACGGCCCACCTGATGGAAAGTGGTAACCGTCACCTATAGACATAAGCAGTACCATGGAGTAACAGAGTATACTGTTTCGCCCATGATACCCCCCATGCGTTGCCATTCCTAAGGTGTTATTCCTCTGCACCCTGTATATTCACGCCATATCCCACTTTAATTTAACATTATATTTAAGAGTTTCCTCTTAACGGTGCAACTGATTCGTGCATTTTCTTCCAGCCAACTCTATCCCATGCCATATCTTTGACCTCCCTATACGACATGTCACCTAGTGTTGCCTTTATCTGTCCCATGTAGTTATTTCTCGGTCTTCCCCTTTCTCTTTTGCTATTTTTTTTTCTACTATGCTCTTTAAAAAATCATGTCGTATAAGGTGGCCCAGCATTTTGCTTCTTCTATTCTCTATTGTTTTTATTATTGTTCTTTTCGCATTCAATTCATTCTTGCCACAACTGAAGTCGGTTTTTAAAGACACCATTAAGATAATGAAAATCATAGTACCAGAGGGAGACTTTATACAAAAGTCGTTTACTTGGGCACTTTTGTCCCATTCGTGTTTCTACCGTGAAGCAGTCGTGTTTGCATAATTGTGTTTCGGTTTGAAAGGTGGGATACGGCAGTGGATTTACAAGGTACAGAGGAATAACACCTGAGTCCTCAAGAATGGCAACGCATGGGGGTATCATGGGCAAAACAGTCTACTCTGTTATGTCCATGATACTACTCATGTCTATAGGCGACGGTTACCACTTTCCATCAGGTGAGCCGTCAGCTTGTTAGTCATTATAAATTGCATAAAAAAAATATTGTTGCAGAAACGAAGTCAAAGAAGTTTCCTGTGCTGGTCTTCATACACGGCGACTCTTTTGAATGGGGCTCGGGCAATCCATACGATGGGAGAATACTGGCAGCTTATGGGAATATTATGGTCATCACCCTAAACTACAGGTTGGGGATACTTGGTGAGTGAGGCGAAATTTTTAATTTTTTTTATAATACTTAGAATTCTAAACTAGCTAATGGTTCACCTGATAAAATGCGTGTTTTTTTTTTTCAATGGACGATAATGATTAGTGCTAACGGTATACGCTGGCGGGGCACCAGTGAGGGATGATAGGTGAGAATGAAAAGGCAGGTCAGTTAGCCCATCACGATTATTACACTTGTAATTCAGCATTCAAAGTCTATCTTTAGTAAAATGGTTTGTATTATAAAATTAGAGAGAATTATTAACTCTTAGAATTCGTCCATATGATTGTAGAATGACTTTTACCATAATATGTTTACTTCATCTTTCAAGCGTAGCGTGAAAAAGCACTTAGTGCACCGGAACAGTGAGTCCAACGGTTGAAAATAAAAAAAATTCAGTTGTTCATATTGAAGGACGATACTGTCCTATGCTTGCTAAAGATCGCATGAACATATCTCGAGCTATATTATATAAAAAAAATAATGTCGTGAAATTAATTTCATAGAACTAGTTCTGTAAGTTAATAACTAACTAAACTAGTGCCATGTAAATTTATTACATGAAACTAGAATTATTAATAATTAAAAGAATTTAAAAAAATCGAGTAGGTTCTCAATACGGTTGTATTTTTTATGTTTGTTACTTCAGAACTTTTTTATTTATAAACCGATTTGGAAATTCCTTTTTTTTTATTTGAGACATCTTACAGAGGGCCTACCATGAAATGTTTTCCGAAATTTCGGGTCCGAACGAAACACAAATTTGATGTTAAAATTACATGATACATGCCGTTTTAAAATATTAAAAATGCTAAAGTACCGTTCCTTTGGACTTTATGGCAGTATTTTTATGACAAACGAAATGTTAAGCTCTATGTACCGGGTCGATTTCGATATGAACAAAAACACGAAATTGAGTCCGAAAATTCGAAATTTAATTTCATGTTAGACCCCCAGATTAGTTGAGTACGTTCAGATTAGTCCCATAGAAATTTCGGTTACACTTTTTTTTTTGTTTCATTACTTTAGTTTAAAAATTAAACTTATTTTGCCACTATTAAAGTCGATATTTATTATTCAAGTCCAGTGACACTAATTTCATTATATTATTTTATTAAAAAAAAAAAAATTATATTGTAAAACATACATATCACTTACGTGTACATAATTTTTTTAATTAATTTAATTAACAAAATTAGTGTCACGAAACTAATTTTACGACAATATTTTATGTGTAAATCAGAAAAATTAAAAAATTAGTGCTGTGCCTTTGTATATATAAGTAAGTGACACTGCAAATTTAGTGCCATGACACTAATTTTACGAGAACATGTTTTATATAAAGCAGATAAATTGCAAAAACTATTGTCGTGCGATTTATTTCAATTTGTGACAATAATATTTCTTTATAATAACTCTTTATAAAATACGCGAACGGTGGTAAGTTTATTTACTTGTTTTTTTTTTCTAGGTTTTTTGAAGCCCAGTACAACAGAACATGTTTTCGGCAATAACGGTCTTCTCGATCAGCTGGCAGCTCTAACTTGGATCCGAGACAATATAGAGGACATGAATGGAGATCCTACTTCGGTGACTCTAATAGGCCATGGTACGGGGGCTGCATGTGTAAATTTCTTATTACTATCATCTGTTCCTAACGGTGAGATATTTTCGTTATCTTATTTATTTAGAAAAATAAAATGTACAAATAAACGTAGCTAACTCTCTATTGTACTATTTAATATATATATATATATATATATATATATATATATATATATATATATATATATATATATATATATATATTACTATATATTTTTTTTTTATTATTAGAAACATTTGTACTCTTTCACATTTATTTTTAAATTAAGAAACTGTTAACTCTGTCTGTGGTACTCTGTATCTGTGGTGGTGTCTACTGAGGTACCAAACAAACATACGACATGTCTAATGGTAAGTAGTTACCGTAGCTTATGGACGCTCGCAATTATAGCCTCGTCAATGCTAAAGAAATTTCTATCCTATTTTTAAAGAACTTCATATAACATGAAGAGGCTCACTAAAAATCGTAGTGAGTGGCAAGAGCTCCACCGACAAGAGCGCAGCTCTTAAATAGATAGATAGATAGATTCATACAACGAAAATATTGGGAGAGAGTTTATTACATAACCTAAGAATTAGAGAGAAGAAGCACCCCTGTTTAAAGTAATGGGGTAAATTTTATGTCAGCAGGGGGCAGTGTAATGTAATAGAACACGAAGATTGATACCACAAGATAATGTTGATAACGTACGGGGTAAATAAATATTGAGTCGTAAAGATAGAAGTACGTTTATTACCAAGTGTCAACAATTAGGCACAGAAATTCATGATCCAAATTGCTATAGAGCCTCCGCAGTTCTTACTAGCTCGCAGTAGTCGTATTTAATTATTCTTCTTCGCTTCGAGAGGCATTCCTTCTTCACTTTGATAGGCATTCCGAACACTACCAAAACCTTTAAACAGAAATTGTCGTTCGACTGCGTGTTGCTCGCCTTTTATACCTACTGAACCCGTGTCCAGAAAGTTCTAGACCATTCGAGATGAATATGTATTTTTTTTTGATGGGTGAAAATGGGAAGGATTATGTCCAGCAGTGGACAATTAATGACTGAAATAATAAAATAATAGTAGATTCATAAAAAAACACTCTATGTATAGATGGACTTAATATATATTTATTTTTATTATTTTATTATAACTAAACATAGGCCTCCTCCATAAGGATAGTTTTGCCGGCAGTTGCCGTCCTTGGCAGGCGGAATGGCAACCGCAGTTAGGCTTTTGTTATGTTTTAAAAGGGACGCTGCTGCCCATAATAAAAATGATGATGCTGATGACCATGAAGTTCCCTTACTCGTCTCTTACAATACTCACGGAAGGGGGAAGGGGTTTTTTTTTTGGTGGATAAAAATGGAATGGTAACCCCGCCTGCGCTAACGGGATACGCTGGCGGAGCACCAGTGAAGGGTGATCGATGAGAATGAAAACAGGCACGTTAGCCCATCATGATGAATTCATGTGGAATTAACCATTATAGTTTCTAGGGGAAACCACGAGGAGGTCGACCTGGTTGGGTATATTGCTAACGATGGGATTTTTGGTTTCCATTACTAACAATCAGGGGGAAGGGGGTAGCCCATCCTATACCGAGACTACACGGTAATATTAACGTAGACAGTAGGTACTCCACGCGTCAAGGTCAATGCGCCTTTCTAGAACTATGTAATGTAATATCGACAATTCTCGAAATTTCTTTATAAAACGAGAAACACTTTTATTTGGACAATAATACCTTTTTGGAGAAACTTCCAGAATAATCCTTTTAGAAGTTATAAAGGTACGTCTTCGCGAGCTCTGAATTGATTTTATTTTCAAGCGATTTCAAAAAAGGAGGCTATAAATTCGCTTATATGTTTTTCATCTAAAAGAATATACTTATAGATTAGTTCTATAGAAATTTTATCAAAATCGGTACAGTAATTTAGTATTGAAATCAATGTAACTACATAATTATCAATAATTAATTAATTAATTATGAAACGCAATCTTAATTATGTATGGATAAATACCTAGGCAACATTTTAAAATAATATACTTTTTGTTAACGCTGACAAATGGTCTGCGTGGTCCCGGCATAGAACAGGTCACCCCTTCCTTTCCCGTGGGTGTCGTAAGAGGCGACTAAGAGAATGCGATGTATTCTTGTCCAATCGTGGGACTTTAATGGATGATCAGGATGTGACGATCAGTATAAAGTATTTTGTAGTATGGTCCCGGCATAGAATAGGCCACCCCTTCTTTTCCCGTGGGTGTCGTAAGAAGCGACTAAAGGACGAGGGATGGGCAGCAGCATCTCTCTCAAAACATCTCCAAAATCTAACTGCGGTTGTCAACTCGCCTGCCAAGCCAACTACTAGCAAAATCCCCCCTTTGGGGAAGGCTTATGTTCAACAGTGGATAGTTAAAGACTGATATGATGATAATGACGATGAACGCGGACAAAGTCGCCGGTCCACACTAGTATTGCCTCGTAATAATATGTCTGCTAAATCTATCCCGATACCTCGTTACATGAAACTACTCATTGCCTAATAGAGGTAACGAATCGGAAATTTCTATTAATTAATATTGCACAGAAATTTCATGAAATTTGGCCAATAATATTTCTAACAAGTTCCTATGCATAAAGATATTGAATATACAGTAGTTAAATGGGAGCGGATGCAAATATTTGACTCCTATATTATATATTAAATAGAAGACGCTCTTAGAAACGTTCATCTATCAAGTTTATTTTGCTCTGTAAAAACAGCGACATCTATCGTAAATATGTATACTGATGTACGATGAAACATTTCGTCATAGTCGTAGAATACTGACGGATCTTTATATGTAATATTTGTCAGATCCGTCGGTATTCTACGACTATGACGATTTTATATATACATTTATTTATTTCTTTACTTAACTACTTTCGTATATTAACTTATTTTTAAATTCATTTGCTTAAATTGCAAACTGCAATTGAAATTATTAACATTTATTATTATTATGTCAGCCCTTAACTGTCCATTGTTGAATATGAGCTCGCCCCATAAGGATATTTTTGCCAGTAGTTGCCACGCTTGGCGGGCGAGTTGGCAACTGTAAGTAGGATTTGGTGATGTTTTAAGATGGATGTTGCTGTCCAGACTTCTATCATTAAGTTAACCGCTTCTTACGAGTCCCAAGGGAGAGGAAAGTGTGGCTTATTCTACATCGGGACCTACACGATGCTATCTTCTACATATACATACCAGAGGGAGACTTTGTACAATAGTCTATTGCTTGGGTACCTCTGTCCCATTCGTGTTTCAACCGTAAAGTAGTTGTGTTTGCATGGCTGTATTTCGGTTTGAAGGGTGGGATATGGCGTGAATTTACTGGGTACAGAGGAATAACACCGGAGTCCTCAGGAATGGCAACGCATGGGGATATCATGGGTGAAACAGTATACTCTGTTATGTCCATGGTACTGCTCATGTCTATAGGCGATGGTTACCACTTTCCATCAGGTGGGCCGTCAGCTTGTTTGCCATTCTAAGTTGTATAAAAAAAAAAACATAAAAATCAATCAGAATCAGTAGGATAAGCAAGCTGAAGTGCCAATGGACTGGTTGCATAGCTCGAAGAACTGATAACCGATAGGGAAGAAAAGTTCTTGAGTGGCGACTCTTTACGGACAAACGCAGTGTAGGATTCCCGACTGGATGGAGTGACAGCCTTAAATAAATAACAGGGAGTTAATGGATGCAGGTGGCTCAGGACCGTTCCTTATAGCAGTTTATGGAGAAGGCTTATAATCAGAACTGGACAGATAACAGCTAATATGATGTAGATAAGGAGGAGGGTGATGATTTATATACATTTTTCTTTTAACACACACACACACACACACGCACACGCACACGCACACACACGCACACATGCGCACGCGCACACACACACATACACACGCGCGCGAGCGCGCGCGCGCGCACACACACACACACACACACACACACACACACACACACACACACACACACACACACACGCACACGCACACGCACACGCACACGCACACGCACATTTTTTTTTTTCCAATATTAACTTTTTTGTTCTTTTTTTATCTCCTGCTATTAATTATTGTTTTTTATTTTTATTTTTGGATTGTGTAATTTCAGTGGAATGCATTTTGTTTAATTATTATTTAAACACATATCGGTTGGGGGCCTGGTGATCTGTACTACAGGTCTTAACTTATTAGAGACAAGTTCCAGCAAAGCAAAGTTCCATATTATTTTAATTTTATTTTATCCTAAATACCTATGTGTAAATTTAAGTTGTTTGTGAGGAGACAAATAAATATATTATTATTATTATTCTTTTAAGGTTTATTCCATCGAGCTATTTTGATGTCAGGATCAGCATTATCAGATTGGGCCATGACAAAAAATCCACTGCAGTACACACTACAAGTTGCACAGAGCGTCGGATGCTATCCTAATGCAAAGAATATGATGACGTGTCTCCAGAACAAACCGTAAGTATTTATTTTCTCTTTAATAGCTTTTGCCTTTGGCTTCGTCCTCGTGATCGGGATATGTTCACTTGGATAAAAGTAGCATTTCTCCCTTTCTTTTCCATATAATATGTACATAGTAAACTTCATACATACATAGCTACATACATATCTGTCACGCCTGTCTCCCATTAGGGTAGGCAGAAACAATGGAACACCAAATGCTTCGATTCAAACAAACCTCTTTCGCTTCTTCCACATTCATCAATCTTTTCATATATGCTCGCCGGTTAAACTTCATAATAATCTTTTAAGATGTGAAGACATAAATGTTACCAAATAATACCAAAGAAACTCCCTTTCACAATTATAATTATTAAAAAAATAAGTAAAAATTTATCTCATATCGTATTCCACTTTAAAAGACCCTAAAATTGGTGAGTTTAAATCTGATTGACAAAACACATTTATATATATATATATATATATATATATATATATATATATATATATATATATATATATATATATATATATATATATATATATATATATATATATATATATATATATATATTTATTGCACTTGTAAGTTACATATAAAATAATGTATTTATAAATATTGTGAGCAAGGGTGGACTTATCTCTGACAGAGATCTCTTCCAATCAACCTAGTACAGTAAGAAAGCATTTCGTTAGCGAACAGCTGAAGTGCTACAACTATTAATACATAAACAAATATATAGTTAAATAAAATATTAAAATATATAATAAAATATTACATAAATACAAACACTATAAATACATATAATACCTACCTACTTATATAATAAATGTTTAAATAAATGAATATACTACTTACATTAAAAATTTCGTTTAATGATTTTAAGATTTGACAGTTCAGTTAGAAAAATACAAAAAACATATTACTCAAGGGAGAGAAAATGTCATTTCAACCTCTTCTTGAAAGAGGTAATAATAATTATAAAATTAAGAATGGCAATCAAGTTGACGCTTATCTGTTGGAGAGTGGTACCCATCGCCTAAAGACATGAATAGAATCATGGTCGTGACAGTATGCACAGTGACGTACATGGAATCCCCCATACGTTGCCATTCCTGATAACTAACCTCCATATTCATCATGGGCTATGTCGGTCACTTTGATTCCTTTGCGGATATCCTCGTTTCCGATTCTATCACGCAAAAATAATCTTCGAGCATAACCCTTTTCATAGCCCGCTGAGTGATTTGAAGCTTTTACATGCGGGCAATCGTGTAAGACCATATTTTGGTTCCATAACCTCTTTATTAAAAAAAAAAATAAAATTGTCTTCCACAAAAGAAACCGACTTCAATTGTGGCGAAACCAGTTATTTTCGATTAAAAATAAACTACTAAATTATTTTGATAAAATTTCTATAGAACCGATCTGTAAACATATCCTTTTGGGTAAAAAAAATAATTTTCCAAATCGGTTTATAACTGACGGAGTTATGAGGTGACAAACAAATAAAAATACAACCGAATTAAGAACCTACTTATTTTTGAAAACTTGAAAACCTCCTACAAACCAACTTTATCTATTAAAGTGTATTTTTTTTAATGGATGATAATGGTATGGTAACCCCGTCTGCACTTTTGGTATACACTGGCGGGGCACCAGTGATAGATGACTGATTAGGATGAATGTAGGTCAGTTAGTCCATCCTGACGAATTCAACTAGAATTGGCCACGATGGTTTCCAGGGGGAACCACATGGAGGTCGACCTGACAGGGTATATTGCTAGTAATGGGACTATTTGACCCCATTGCTAACAATCCCTTTCCCCCCTATTAAAGTGTATTGTCACTGTCTTTTAAATATATAATTTAGCGTAAAAGTAAAAAGACAAAACAGTTCAAAGCTAAAATAAGTTTACGTTTAGTACCGTACAGGTTTGACGTTTTTATGTTACCACTTTTCATCAGGTGGGCCGTTTGTCATTTTAGGTAATACATAAAAAATAAAACACACACACACACACGCAAAACTTAACCACACATATAACTATTTTTATTGAAATGCAACTAACCTTCGAAGGTCGGTTTTATAATTTATGAAAACCGTAGCCTTATCCAATTCGATCCAATTTTCTTTGAAACTTTAACATCTGTACCCAAACCACGTAGCTTTGAGGATAATCAAGGTAATGTATTTGTTTGTACAGTTCAAAACAATACTGAATCTTTTTTTAAACATAAATTTTTATTTAGTTTGATTCCATTCTTTTAGGAGCTTACACGCCACAAACATCCTCGTAAATAGATAAAGGTTTTTTTTTTTATATTAATTATCTCTTTTGTGATGGATTCGTTTAATAAATACGTAGCATATATATTTTTATGGTAATATTTTGTTTGATTTTGGAGTATATTTAGTTACATAAGTATAACGCAATATTTCCAAAATCGAACATGATAATGATGAACGATCGATCATTACCTAATGGAAACACTACGTTATTAATAAGGTTCATAAAACAATGTTCTTATATTAAATTTTCTTCTTATATTTAATTAGAATTATTTTGTTTAATTCCGCTAACATTAGTATGTGTGTGATTGCTAACACTCGATTGACCACCACTACTAGTACCAAAAGTTCCACAGCCTTCCATATTAGCCATAGATCTTTAACTGACATTTTGTATATGCACGTTTTGCGATACGTGTTTCAACTCTTTTCACAGGGGGGAAGGGATTGTTAGCAATAGAGTTTGACAGCTCCATTGCTAGCAATATGCCCTATTATGTCGACCTCCATGTGATTCGCCCTGGAAACCATCGTGAACAATTCTTGTTGAATTCGTCACGATAGGCTAACTGATCTGTTTCACTGGTGCTCCGCCGGTGTATACCGATAGCGCGGGTGGGGATACCATTCCATTATCACCCATTAAAAAAAAAACCCTTTTTACATTCTCTTTGCATTCACACATATACTAATGGTAGCGGAATTAAACAAAATAATTCTGATTAAATAACAAGCGATATGGACTTCCGCAAGATGACACGTAGTTCAGTAAAATATTAACAGTGAAATGTTCTCAAAATGTAATATTCTCAAAAATACCTTCTTTTTTCTTGTATAGACTATCGCAAATCAAGAAGGTGCAAATTTTAGCGAGAGAGTTTGAAACGCCGTTGGGACCGACTGTGACAGGAAACTTCATAACAAACGAGCCAGCGGAGACTATGAAATCATTTCCGAATTTGACAAGCAAGTAAGATCATTGTTGTAGTTTTCAATCAACTTTTAGAGTTCTAACTTGACTGAATGTTTTTGTGTATATATGTGTCAAGTGATACTTTGTAATTAGGTTATGGTGATTGTTATAACTTCGGTGATGTAGTCACAGTATACGATAGTTTCTTTTTATTTATTTTTTTTATACAACTTAGAATGGCAAACAAGCTGACGGCCCACCTGATGGAAAGTGGTAACCGTCGCCTATAGACATGAGCAGTACCATGAATATGAACAGTTGCAGGTTCGATCACTATTGGCGACCGGCCGATGCAAACTCTTTAGTTATTATTATACTTTTTTATATACATTTACTTTTAGAATGTTCTTATTCAGGCGCTATAAGGTAAAATAAAACTCACTTTTACATTTATAATATTAGTAAGGGCACACACATTAGCTGTACGCTGTGTTAATTAGCATGAATTGAGGAAAAGTCGTAGATCATCTTTGTGCAAGAGTTCATCCAAATTCAATCAGGCGTACAAGTGTGAAGTAAAACAACCACTTCCTTATTTATAAAAATTAAAATCTTCTATAAATCTAACTATTACACTATTTTGTCATTGTCTTCTAAATTAGGAATTTAGCACAAAAGAAAGAGATAAAACAGTTCAATAGATAAAATAGGTTTACGAACGGTTTGACGTATTTATGAATAAAGGCGCCAAACGTCTTTACGTACTGTACGTGGATTATAAAATATATCTATCTCTTTTCAATTCGTTGCGTGTAAACAAACGTACCTTTCGAGATAAGCTAGCAGCGAGAGATCAGGATGACAGTTATTGATGGTTCCCGTTTCCTTGATCATTGCAATATTATGGTGCATGAGTGTTTCTGAGCGATACACTTCTTGCGACTAGTGACCCAAATACGGCTTACATTAACGTTTTTCTTACAGACGAAACGGTTGTGTACAGTTTCTTTTATTTATGAAGTTAATTAGGTGAAACTGATTCGGAGTCAGTAGCAATTTTGTGTGCGTCTTTATGAATGGACTTCAAAAAAGAGTAGGCTCCAATTCGGTTATGCTTTTTTATGTTTATTACTTCATAACTCTGTCAGTTATAAACTTATTTATTTATTTGGAAAATTCTTTTTTTATTGAAAAAGATATTATACTATATACTGGATACTTTCATATTGGTCTCATGGACATTTTATCATAATCGGTTCAATAGTTAGAGAATTACCTTCTTTTTGAAGTTGGTTCGAAAAAGAGATGAATTCAGAAGTAATAGCCATCAGGTATTTGTAGAAGAAGAAGACATACTGTCCCCAAATAAATATAAAGGAAAATGCAATGCAATGGCATTGACGATTAAAATCACCTCTTTTTCGAAATTGTTTAAAACTATAGATATATAGATACTCTTTATTGTTTCCTCCGAAAGATTACAATAGTAAACTTATTATAAATATAAACAATTACAAGAAATATTTAATAATATAGTAAAACTAAGAATCTTTTCGAAGTTATTTCAAAAGATCTTGCAGTTATAAATGCATATTGGTAATAATAAAGAATAATGATAATTCTTTTTTATTTGCAAATTTATAATATTTATAGCGACTCCAAGAAAAGGTATCAATTCGGTTATATTTTATGTTTGTTATCTCAGAAGAGCGTCATTTATAAACCGATGTGGAATACTTTTAAATACTTTTAATATTTTTATACTTTCAGATTGGTCCTACAGAAATTGCATTAAAATTGGTTTGATAGATTGATTTTACATATTAATAATTGCAACTACAGTTAAAGTAAGTGTTATGTTTTTCTGTGGACCAAAATCTACTAGTGACGACATTGTTTCAAAAATAAAGTTGAAAGAAAATGCTGTTGAAAGAAATGACTTGTATTCTTATTATTCTTCTATTCCTTTGTCCTTTGTGGAATTGTGTTCTTTGTTCAGTAGGCAGTAAAAAGGTCAATCTAATGTAATGTCAAATGTGATATTTTTGCTACTTCAGCTATCAACTTTTAAGCGGTGTCACGGAATTGGAGAGCTACCACGACTTCGGGGCAATTGAAGTTGACTATGGCATTTTGGAAAATCAAAGAGATGATTTTATTATCAAATACAGTAAAATCATATTCGAAGGAAACGGAAGAGAAGTTCTTAAAGATATATTGAAACAGTGAGTATATGTACATTGTTATTTAATTAGAACATTTTTGTTTAATTCCGCTACCATTAGTATGTGTGTGACCGCCAACACTCGAAGATTGACCACCACTACTACAACCGGAAATTTCACATTAAACATAACGCCAAACTATTATTTGCTATTAAAACTTTTACGTAAATCGTACCGTAACAATGTAGAATGGCCTTGTGATATTTTTCCTGCATCCTATAAGCTTCGATCCTTCAAAAGTAGTGTGAAAAAGCATTTAGTGAATCGGCACAGTAAGGCCAACTGTCGAGAGTAGCACATTGGCTTTACGGTTGAACGATTCGTGTTGTCTCTGTATTGGCAATAATTGTGTGATCATATATAAAATTAAAATCATTTACGGGATAGAAAAAGATAAACTAGGGTCAAAGTCAATTATTATTTAATTGACTTATTTACTTCGCACAAAATTGTTCATTACTATTTTTATTACACTATGTTTCGGTTTGAAGGGTGGGATATGGCGTGAATTTACTGGGTACAGAGGAATAACACCTGAGTCCTCAGGAATGGCAACGCATGGGGGGTATCATGGGCGAAACAGTATACTCTGTTATGTCCATGGTACTGATCGTAACTATAGGCGACGGTTACCACTTTCCATCAGGTGGGCCGTCAGCTTGTTTGCCATTCTAAGTTGTATAAAAAAAAACAGTAAAGTAGCCATCTTTACTCTCAGTTTTGATCTTCAATATAACGTTAAACGTTCACACTTTGCGTTTTTAAGAATCATACCTCGTATTATAACCCGTTCATTTGTATGTATCGTATTTTTAATGAGATATCCGTTAAACGTCTTTAAATTAATATCTTCAACTCGCGTCTGAATGCTTCAGAAACATTTTACAGACAGTCGTCAAAATCTCTTTGACATGTCTATATTTTTATAAATTTAATTGCATGTACTTGCTCATTGTTATGTAGTAAATATTCATATCCGTTTTATATATAATTAATAATTTAACATTCTTTGCTAACTGCTTTAACCATGCTGTATGTACCTATCTGGGTTTCAATGTAGTCCGTACTATTGTTTTTCTATAAATGTTTTTAATGTTATTGATTGTAAACTGTTGTGTACACCTAATAAAATAAAAACATACAAAATAAAAAATGAATCTACAGTGTTTTCATTCAATTGTCTAAATTAACACTATGTGTAGTTCCGATTCAGGTATCATGGGTGTCACAGAATATTCTGTAATGTCCATTCTACTGTTCATATCTATAGCAGACGATCTCCACTTTCCATCAGGTGGCCTGCCAGCTTATTTATTATTCTAAGTAGCATAAAATAAGTACTCTTTTTTAAAGAATTCTTACAAAACATAATCGTTGGATTATTTTGTTCTAAAATAAATAATAGTAGATAGATAGATAATTTATTTACATTACTTACAGCACACAAATTACAATAAAAAAAAAAAACATACACATAATACACAGCAAAAGAGATAAAAGAATGAAAATAAAAAAGCACAAATAAAAAAAAAACAAAAAACAAAATATATAAACAAACAATCTCCTTTCTTAGTAAATGGTTATTAGTCATTACTTCAACAGTCTATATAATGGGTAGACTTCACAGGTTTAAAGTTATAATTTAGTTAGTTATTAGTTTAGAATAAAAAAAAATAATGTATATCAGAATATACATATTATTTTGTTATTTTTATTATATAAGTATTTTCTATTTCATTCTAATGATAAATATAAATTGTTATTTGAAGGTATGCTCCATCAAAACTGGATCCGCAACGCTGGAGTGTTGAAGCTAACCGAGACGTGATATTAAATCTATTTAGCGACGCTAGAACCCTGGCACCTCTTATCAATTTTGCCAACTACCAGTCAAAAGCCAAAAGGCAATCGTATTTCTACGTGTTTGGACATAATTCTGTTAGCACAGATTACGCGTCGGTGAGTTTTTATTCAGTCGAGTGATATTCACCAAGTGTGATTTCTGTCTAATTGCGGCGAACTATTTTAGTTTAGATTCTTTAGAAAAATTAAAATCCTCAGAAACCATTTTATGATATGCTTCCTTCAATATTTCGGGAATTTCGGCTTTAGCTGGGGATTTAAACTTGAAATCACAGTTGGAAGATTCACCGAAGTTGGACAGAGGTCTTACTTGCTGAAAATTACCCAATCATTAATAAGGTGAAGAGCAACTAAGCATATTTTAGTAAGACCGAGATTCAATATCATAAACTCAGCCTTGTTCATCTACTACTGATCATATACGAGTACATCCTCCATACATTATAGCAAAGAACAATATTTTATTTCAAAGCAATGACATTATGAATTGCATTAAATTCTGCACAAAGTGATAATTACTAGTGGTATTTTTATTTGCGTATTCCTATTATTTTAATAACTTCATTCCTACATGTCATCAGACAATGTGGAGAAAAATCTATATGGGCTGTCATTGAATTTTGAATATTTTTTCCGGTTGTCTTCTTAACTTAAAATATATCTTTTTTAAAAATCATTGTTTAAACAAATTATACCGTACTTTGAAATACAATACATTTGAAAGTAAAAATATATTTTCTATTGACGACTTTCAATACTTATTTTGTACTCTTCCTCACTGTTTCTTTTTATCACAACGGAAACTCGAGCAGTTGTCTTTGAATTGTTATTAATAAAACACCTCCAACTATTAAGTAGAACGTTGTGGAATACTGAATAAAAGTTTCACCTCGAACAATACATTCTCGATCACAAAAGGCATGATAGACGTTGAATTTTTGAGAGCTCGATTCCAACAGGTAGTGCGAAATTGTCTGAAATAAAAATACAAGAATGTGCACTGCTTTTTTCGATTTTGCACGTTATGTCGGGAATGGCTCGAAGCACAGATATATTGAGCATTGATCTTTTCGAAATGATTTCACAACTCTTTTTTCTTTTAATGCAATGTATGATGATGTGTGTGGATATTTCTGTATCGCTTGTTTTTATATCAAGCGACTTTGGTTGCCGTGTGGTCCCAGCATAGAATAAGCCACCCCTTTCTTTCGTATGGGTGTCGTAAGAGGTGATTAAGGGAAATTAATGGTCTAGAGATGGACAGTAGCGATCTTCTTAAGGCATTACCAGAGCCTGACTGCGGTTGCCAACCCGCCTGCTAACCTTGGCAACTATTTGCAAACCCCCCCTATGGGAGGCCTATGCTCAGCAGTGGATAGTTAACAGCTTGTATGGTATAGACTCTGATTGCATGGCCATGTTTCGATTTAAAGGTTGTAAAATTATTGGGTATAAACTCAATTGCGTGACGGGAATCGGAGACCTCACAATATATTTTCTTGTGTATATTGGTATATACTAATTAGTGACTTTCCATCACATATGTCATTGGTTTAGCATTAAAGGCCGTATAAAATTATCACCTTTAAAATATCTGTGACTTGTTATTTATGTTCCACTATGAACAGTAATATAAACTGCTGAATTTATTGTTTTTCTTTCTCGACTGTTTGACACTTTCACACTTTCTGTAAGTATGTATTTGGCAATACGTTTCCCGTTTCCGACAGGTCAGGCTCAGCCTAGTGAAGGAATCAATGTTAAACTTTGTGCTTAAACAAACATACTTTGATAATAAATATATTTTTACTTTTTTTTTTTACTTTCTTTTACTGTCTTTCTATTTTCTTTCTTTAATTCACTAAATTGATAATGGACTGGTCACATCATTCTAAAAATTTATAACTGAGAGGAAAGGAAGATTCTTTAGTACGAAGTATACGAGGTATATCAAACTTTAACTAGACTAAGGATGAACCTCGAATATATTACACAGTTAATGGATATGGATGTATCATGGATGGATCTCAGAATCATTGCTTATGTAGTATAGTTAATATATATGACCAGCAGTAAAATAACGATTATCATTTGATTTTAAATAATACAATATCTTTAATTTCAGCTAAATAAAAGTGTTCACGGCGAAGAATTGCCTTATGTATTGGGTGTTCCTCTAGGCGGCGCTAATACTCACTTCCATACAGAGTATACGCAAAAAGAGAAGTTACTCAGCGAAGTCATGATGAGATTATGGACAAATTTCGTAAAGATTGGGTGAGAAATATTATTAATATTATATAATTGTCACTAAACCATAACCGTGTGGTCCCAGCATAAAATAGGCCACATAGCTAGCAATGGAACTGTTAGATACCACTACTAACAATCTCTTTCCCTTAAATAAAATTATACATATATATTCTTTATTGCACTAAAACATACATTAACAACAATAAGTTAATAACAATGTTAGCAAAGGCGAACTTATCTCTAAAAGAGATTTCTTCCAGTCAACATAACGCAGTGGCATAGGAAAATGCCAAGTGGTCCCGGCATAAAATAGGCCATCCCTTCTTTTCCCGTGGGTGTTGTAAGAGGCAATTAAGCAAGGGCGAGGGAGGAGCAGCAGCGTCCCTCTTAAAACATCTCTAAAGCCTAATCGCGGTTGCCAGTCCGCCTGCCAAGCGTGGCAACCATTGGTAAAACCTCCCAAGGAGGAGGCTTATGTTCAGCAGTGGACAGTTAAAAGATGATATCATGATGATGATGATAAGGAACTAGATAATATCTGTACATAGAAGATATTTGAAAAATATTGATATGAGGGATCTCAGTAACACCAATAGATGCCATAACAATAATTTTAAGAAATTTTGTCTATGCATATGTTTTTGTTCTGGTATCACGAAATAACTACTGCAACAAATTGGATTCGGTTTTAATGGTTGTATTGTTGAAGATCTAACTTAATCCTTTTTTGCATAATGATGGAAATTTCCATCATAACATTGAATGCCCAAAAATTATATGAAAGAACAAGCTCATTTTAAATTGATCATGTCCTGATAATTTTTGTCCTGTCCTTTTAAATGTCCATTGCAGAATAAAAACATATCTGTCAAATTTATTTTTTTAACGATTTTTCCTTGAATGTTAAACATGAATTATATCACCTTGATTTATTTCACTAATAAAAAATCATGCAAAGAAGGGTTAAAATCTGGTATATGTTTTATCTTGATTGGAGTACATTATCTGGAAGTAGTCCATATCGTTATTCATAAAGTTATCCTACTTCTGAAATCTTTGCGTACGAAATAGGGGGCAAAAAGTTAGAGAGTAACAAACTTTTTGCTAACCATTTTAATTGTATCTACATATAAAGTGTTTCATACAATTGTAATTATTAATTCACAATTGCTACATTTCATGATGTGATGGCTCCACTGCAAATTAATTCTTAATTAAACACAGTGAAGTTAAAAATTGTCAACTAAGTCAATTACAACATGTAGATTAGTAACTCTTCAAATTATAATTTCATTATCATCATTTGTATGTATTACTTCATCTGTTTGCTGTACTGTTTCTGTATGATGTTAAATAACTTGTACATTATTATTACCATAAATATTAACTTCACGATTTTACCATACCATAACCATAACAAGTCATTAACGTTCCTCTAGTAGGTACGGGTCTCTCCCCATATGTGCCAGGATATTAGCCCACTAACATCTTACGTGTTAATATTTGAGATAACATTATGTTCTTGGCATAAGTTCTATGCGTTCCATCGTGTTTCATTGGAACGTGCTATGGAAATTATTATTACAGTTATAAAAGTATAGAATATAAGGAACATTTATTTATTTAAACTTCAATGCATAATTATATAAGTAAGTGTACATATGTTGGACTTAACACCTAATGGCGTTCTCTACCAGTCAACAATGAGGCAAGCAGAAAATTAAGTAAGCAGTGCATTTACTACTAAAATATGCATAAATATTGTTACTACATGCATACGTTCATAAATAAATATATAATATAATGATGATAAATTAGAATAGCAATAAAAGAAAATAAGGCAAAAAAATAACGAAAAGTGTTTTCATGCTCACCAATCACACTTCACTAGTGCCCTGCACGTGTATACCGATAGCGCAAGCGAGGTTACCATTTCATTATCATCTATTATAGAAAGTAAGAATTATTGTCTATGGACATGACTTTAGAATCAAAAGTATATATTGTTTATTGAATCGAAACGCCAAATTAAAGTTTACAAGTTGAATGTAAAGAGAATTCTCTTTTCTTTGATTTATAAATTAATAACGAAACTGTTTTAGAAGTGAGTTGAACAACTGCAAAAGAACCACTTATCATTTTTAAGATCACAGCAGGCGCCGTGTTTTCGACTGTGTGATTAATGATTAAAAGATGAATATTTTCAAGTGTACGAAAAGGGAACTTGTTGCGAAAGTATTAAGGTCTCGATTTTTTTTATATTTTTTATTAAATTTATTTATGTCTTTCTTAATTATACAATTTCAGTACACCGAACACCCAAAGCGTGAATAAGTACTACACGTTAGATCACAGAGAGTGGAACCAATATAATGTGGAGTGGCCGGAATATGACGTGGAACATCAATCATATTTGAGATTGGGTAAGTCAACGATTATAGGGGAATTCTTTATTTCTTTCTCTGTGATATTTAGAACAAACGATATGACGGCTCGCCTAATGGAAAGTCGTAACTGTCATCTATAGAAATTAACAGTACCACGGAGGTTTATGGATGGAAATACATTGTGATGCCTGTGGTATCCCTCAAGTGTTGCCATTCCTGAGATCTAAAATATTATTGCTCTATCTCTTGAAATTTGGTTGCCATATCTCGATCGAATCTTAGTTTAATCTTCAGATTTTCAATTTCATTTTTGGATCATTCATAAATGATTGTTACTTGAATTGAGCTACGGAGGTTATATAAACCACGTTAGAGTACTCCGTATGCAACAAAGGAGACCTAGAAGCTCCTAATACTATAGAGTAATATATACATATACCGACATGAATAGTAGATTATTTTTCCACAAATTAGCAATACTGTACAGAGTTATTGCAATAAATTTTTAAATCATACAATTTTTTTAAATATTGACATTTTTATACCCACCTAAAGCAATAAACTGAGTAGTAATCATTTTGTGTTACTAAAGAACCCGCACGAAAGGAAAAAATATGTTACTTCTTTAATGCACTTTTCTTTTGTTATTTATGTATTCTTTTATCTGTTTTCTTTTGTGTATATCTATCTATGTTTGTTGTTATTTGTTATTCGTGCTGTAAATAATATAAATAAATTATATATTTATTATTACTTCAGACATTACGCCATACGTCAGCAGTTTATACCGTTCAAACTACACAAACTTTTGGCTTGAGACGTTACCTAAAAAGATGAGGAGGTTCCTGATTGATCGATTATTCGAGTATGCTCCAAAATCTACTACGCACAAACCTAAATCAACATACGGGGCCCCAGGTGAGTATACAGCACTTATACCATCAGTAATAAATTTAATGAATTTACTTAAGACTATACACTTCAATATTGGCTTTAATAAATTATTAATTACGTTATTGTATTAGCTTAATATCCCGCTGCTGACTTTTGCTGGTATAAGATTTTTTAATGGATCTTAGTTTATATGAAAGATGAACTAAAATATTATAAAATCAACCTGGGTTGCTAGCTCTGAGTTAGCCACAACCTAGATTTGTGAAGTGGCAATCCTTAAATGCGGCTATTATTTTTATAGGCAGCCCTATGTTGCCTTATAGAGAAAAGAATACGCTTTCGTTTAGTGTTATTTTTTTTTATCAAAAGAACAAATTCTCTACGATTACAATACTAACATCTAGAATAAATCTTTAGATTCTGGCAACATTTTCTTGTGGCTATTTTTTATATGCAACTATAAGTTAATGTGCATAAAACAGAACTTCCAAACTTCCGTTGGATGATCAATTTACTAAATATATCCAAACTATTATATATTTCCACCTGGCAACTCTAAGGTGTTTTGTATTATATTTAAGCTCAACTTTCATTAAAATCAAGTTGCAGGACTCAGCGGTGAAATCTTTAACTATTTAGTTTTATAAATATTTATAGATATGGATAACAGTTATGCAGAATGAACTGTAAACTATTCGAATCCTTTTAAAAGCAATACTGAATATTTCTTTCTTTGTACCCACATACATCATACTTTTCAAAACGATATGTACTGAAAAATGACGTAACCTTCTATTTCATTGTAATGATAAAACACCACTCAAAATAATGCCTATGATTCGACTTCATTATGTGATACATAATGTGTCTAAATTCAATTGATGCATAACATATAACTAGAAATGAAATGATGAGAATGAAATCATGTCAGTAGACTAATTGGGGTAAAAGCACTGGAATTAACTATGATGTTTAATAGAATATACTGCTAACATATTGGGGATTAATAACCCCTAAACTAACACTTTCTAATGAAACTTCGGCACTATGTTCTCTCCCACTATATCATAAGAGATTTGGCGTAAAGATCTAACATTCTATGATGTATATACCTGACTTTATATATACATAAGTAAAAAAATAGAAGTTATCAAAAATTAATTGCTTTTTATCTTATACAAAATGTACATATATTATGATCAATAAAAAAAGAACTTTTTGTTTTAATTTTGTTATTATTAATCTATATTTATATTACACAGATCCAAACCAAAGAACCAGAAGGCTTCAAGTGACCAATCCGCCTCGGTATAATGCACCTTCTTCAGGTGGTACAATTTCGAGAAGCTCCTACTTCCCACCAGAGCCAAGATCATATCCAGATATGATTTATAGACAGCAAGAGCCGATAAAAATAATTCCTTCACAACAACCTCATTTAATGGACAATGCAATTATTCAACCAACTAACAAGCCAATAAATCCAAATATGCCAGTTAAGATGTCTGGAGCTACTATGACGCTCATTATATCACTTGGTATACTTTTCTTAGCTGTGAATGTAGGAATTTGCTCAATATTATATTTCAAAAAACGAAAATTACGTATTCGAGAACAAGCTTTTGAAACTACACGACAACCTCGTCCTGAAATGGGAGAAGTTGATGTAATCGGCCAAAAAGGCTCCAAAGATGATAAAAGTGCTTTAAAAACATTTAAAAATGGTTGCAGTGTCATTAAGTCGATGAGCATTGATAAAATTCGTGACAAGAAAAAACATAAGAAAAAGTTAGAACCATGTAAAACACCAAAGTCTGATGACTCAGGTGGATTTAGAGAAAGATTCCAGCTTAGAAGACATCTATCTACTAGTACATTAGATGCGCATACAAAAGTAAGAGATTGGATTGCTAATGAAGTTATGCATAGATGTTCTCCAGGTATTATGAGAAAATCAAACTCTGATTTGAATAATGATAAAAGTTTGACTATAATTAAACCTTTTACTAGATCTGAAGAACTGTTGTCAGAGGCAAAGCGTTCTAAAAAAGATGCCCACAGAGTCGATGGTAATGCAAAAAATATTGGTTTAAGAAAATCTGAGGGTAACAAAACAAGAACGTCTGAGAAAACTACTTCAACATCTGCTCTTGACTCGCATTCTTCAATTGGAAGTAATAAAAATTCAACAATGAGTATAAAACGTACTGATAAATCTACTGATTCTCTAAGAAGTAGGGGAACAGAAAGTATTAAATCAAAGAAAGTATCTGTAGCAATCGATGCTACACCAGCTGCACGAACAAACTCTATACTTAACCAAGAACCAATAGAAATTTATAAATCATTTGACTGTGGCGAATCAAAACATTCCAATAATGAAAACAAAATACAAAGATCAAAAACTGAAAAGGACTTTAAAAACAGTTTAGTACAAAATAAACCCGAAAATAAAGAAAATGATAAAAAAACATTTACAAATGTAATTACATTGTCTGTTGATCAAGACAAACCATTAAGAATATCTCATAAACATTCCTCATCAGATCCCGTAACTGATATAAATTATGATAAGCTTATGAAAGAAAAAATGGAGTGTGGTAATCAAATAATCGATATTCTTCCTCCTGTTACATTTAGAAATGATATCAATGTAACATCATGTGATGAAAGTACTAAAGTTGAGCCCTTGACAGCTGCAGAAGCTTTACTAACTATAAAAAGAAGAAACTTTCCGAAAGTGCTTCCAGATTTGCCAAAGGCGCAAAAGCGATTATCTCTACAACCCACAACTTTACAAACTTTCAAAAGTTGCGTAGGAAGTATTGATAGTCAGTATGAACGTTCTAAGGTTCCACCACAACCTCCTCCTAGGACATCGACTTTAGAGCGTCGTCTTGCATACAGAAATTCCAAACCTTTGACTTCATTTGACCCATGTAATATTAATAAAATATCAGAAACAAGTACTGATAATAATTATGAAAATATTGATTCCATAATACCATATTATGATACCAGTCAAAAAGGTAATAGATCATTTGAAATCAATACGCCAAGGAACCAACACGATTCAAGTTTAACCATGTCTAAAGAAAGAGACTATCCTAAAGTGATAATAGCATCACGTGACATTCCATTATTACAAGAACCAACAGTTATTATTAAAGCATCCTCAAGTCAAATAGAAGTACCATCGAATATTCCAAGGGTAAAGTTACCAGATGATTTTCATTCCCAAGCAAGTTCAGTAACATCATTTTCATCCTTTTGTTCAGATGATGAGGAAATTATAGATGACGAAGAAGATTTCTTAGATGATCTCACTGAAGATAAACTTATAAAAGAATTGGTCGGTGGAGTAGAATCTCCAACTAATATGGGTGATACTTTCTTGGATTCAAAAGGCCCAGAAACAATATTTGAAAAGAAATTAGAAATTGTACCGGTAAAGGTAAATACTGGGATCGTTGCGCCAAAAAGCGCTGAAGATTATATTTGCATATCTGATTTACATTTACCTGGTGTGAGTGACTTGGAGAGAACGGCACAAATTAAACCTAATTTTGGTTTAAATAAACTTCAACATAGAACTGAAAGTATCCACAGACCTCCGGAGAAGGCTGTTAAATTAAAACCAAAACGATCAATCAAAGCTGGCTCGATTTTGAGCAGAAGTGTTAAAGGTAAGAGAAGTAGCAATAAAAGTAAAAGAAAAAGCACATTAGAATATTCAAATTCCGGGTCTTCCAATGACACAGAAACCAGCACCGGAACTGTAAAAAAAATAGAAGTAAAAAAAGGTACTTAAAATATTGTTTGCACCTACACAAAATAGTTTTGTACCAAATTTTCAGATGTTCCGACCAAATTATTAAATAGAATTTTTAATATGAACTTATGTATATCAAAGTAAGTACAACGAAAGGAGTTATGCATTTAATATATAAATTTGTACAAAAGTAAAATAGTTATTTTATTGAAACACTACCATTTCCAATCGATATTCCATTAAATTATTATTTATAATTATCGTATAATTGGAGAGTAATTTTATTGTTCTTTGTTTGAGTGATAAGCTATTTGATACGTTTGCATAAATAAGATTTTCAAACTTTATACAGTCTAATGAAAACAGTTATAATAAAACCCAAGGAATTAAGTGATCTTTCGCAGCATCTCCGATCTTTCCCTTCAAACGCTGTGACTTTAGAAACCCGCTTGATCCTGTATGTGGCTTAAGTTACAAACGTGTATCTTATTTCAACATATTACATATTGAATTGGGCTTATTAATCCTAGGTTTGTAATATTGGGTTAATTGCGGTTCATTAAACTTTACAAATATGTGGGATATGATATAGAAATTACAGGGTACGAAAGCATAATCTTTGATCTTAAGAATGGCAATTCATGATGCTGTTTGTAACCACTTTCTCACAGGAAAGCTGTCAGCTTTTATCCTAAATATAAATAGGCTAAGACTTTTCAAACAGGTATATTTTTTATAAGGAATAAGGAATCTTTTTATAATACTATACTTATTTTTGAGATAGTGAGTAATTACAATATAATAATGTTGTAACAACACCAAAAAAAAGTCTTAATATATCAATCAAATATTTTCGCTCAAATCTTACTCTGAAAACCAAAGTAAAACAGTTAACATTAAACTCCTTATCAACAACGGTAAGTTTGTAACTGGAGTCATGATTTCATTGAAGAAGCTTTACGTCACAACTCACCCTCAATTAGGCCTCTGATCTCTCATGAATGCAAAAACTTGGGCAGTTACAATTTTGCTGGTTATTAAAGTCTTTGTATGTCGAATTTAGTATGTTAGACAATAGAATGTAAAATACGAGTCTCTCTCAAAGGTATCTAATTAAAAAAAAATCATAAATAGACACTCAACATTTTCGTAAATATTGTTTTTCTCAGTATGATTTCTTTAGGAGTCTTTTTCTTGCCTTGAGGTCATTAATATTCCATTTTTGTAGCAAATAGCCTATTCCAAGCAATGAATACGCCTCAATGCATGAGTTTATCTTTTCAGGAATTTAACCGTTTTTTGCATAATAGTGGAAATTTCTAGCATAACACTGAATGCCTAAAATTTATATAAAAAACAAAGTTCATTTTAAGTTGATCGTGTTTGGATACCTTTTTAATGTTCATTGCAGAAAAAAAACATAGCTGTTAAATTTATTTATTTTTAACTATGAATTATATCACTTTGATTTATTTCACCAATAATAAAAATCGGTAAAAAAACTTTTAAGTTAAACGGTTTTATTTTATGTGCACTGAAAACTACAAAATAAATAAATAGTTACTTACCTATCAACCTACGTAGGTGATCTCGGTCATTAATATCTCTGATGGTAGTGGTTGTCATAACATGAACCATGTCAGCGGCCGAAAGGCAGTTCATGAGAGAACACTAACACCAGGGTTTGCTTGGTAGGTAAACTAAGCAGCCCGCACTATAACAAGTAGGTATTTTGACCTTCTAGTTCAGAAATATTTTAGTACTAGGCAGAATAGCTTTTAGGCATATTAGACTAAAATAAAAACGTGGGGCCCATTAACTATTTCTGTATACTATATTAACTACTATACTAAGTGTGGATTGCATCGACTTATTATAATCGTCATCATCATCATCCTAGCGGTTTATCCCGGTCGCATCCGAAACCTCATAGCTCCGGAGTCCAGGGTCCGCTGAATCGACTTACTATAATCGTAACTGGAGGTTTTAACCATCAATAACCAGCCGTTACGGCTTCACCAGCGAACGCCGAGCTCATGATCTACCAAAGTATAAGATATGCTCTGCTATAGGTATGATTTCAGAGGGGCCCCACGTTTTTATTTTAGTCTAATATGCCTAAAAGCTATTCTGCCTAGTACTAAAATATTTCTGAACTAGAAGGTCAAAATACCTACTTGTTATAGTGCGGGCTGCTTAGTTTACCTACCAAGCAAACCCTGGTGTTAGTGTTCTCTCATGAACTGCCTTTCGGCCGCTGACATGGTTCATGTTATGACAACCACTACCATCAGAGATATTAATGACCGAGATCACCTACGTAGGTTGATAGGTAAGTAACTATTTATTTATTTTGTAGTTTTCAGTGCACATAAAATAAAACCGTTTAACTTAAAAGTTTTTTTACCGATTTTTATTTTCTTGTTTTTAGTATTTAGTGAAATTGTTTACCGAATATTCCTCATTCTATTTAATTCATTCAGTGCATCATTATTACATGGTTTCTTACCTGATGATTTAGTACAATCTAATTCCTCAATACATAGCCCTTCCAGAGACTTGACTCGACTTAGAGCCACGTATGCTTGTCCTTCCTCAAACCATTTTGAGCCCAAATATATTACTGCATGGTCGACGGTGCTGCCCTGCATTTTATGGACGGTGAATGCTCATGACAAAACTAAGGGCAACATCCTTTTTTCAGCCGTACCATAATTGAATTTTGGTGGAAACTGTATGGCTTTAGGGTAAATAACGTGCATGCCGTCTGTGCCAAAGTCAATTAAAACTGATGATATATCTGTTTAGTACATTTGGGTTCGACGGAACTGAGGCCAAAAAGGTGTCTGAGTGTCAAGTGTCTGAGAGTCTAGTGTCAGAGTGTCTTGTATCCGAGTGTCCAGTGTCTGAGTGTCTAGTGTCTAGTGTTTAGTATCTGAGTGTCGAGTGTCGAGTGTCTAGTGTCTGAGTGTCGAGTGTCTAGTGTCTAGTGTCGAGTGTCGGGTGTCGAGTGTCGAGTGTCGAGTGTCGACTGTCGAGTGTCGAGTGTCGAGTGTCGAGTGTCTAGTGTCTGAGTGTCTAGTGTCTGAGTGTCTAGTGTCTAGTGTCTGAGTGTCTGAGTGTCTGAGTGTCTAGTGTCGAGTGTCTGAGTGTCTAGTGTCTGAGTGTCTGAGTGTCGAGTGTCGAGTGTCGAGTGTCGAGTGTCGAGTGTCGAGTGTCGAGTGTCGAGTGTCGAGTGTCAAGTGTCGAGTGTCGAGTATCGAGTGTCGAGTGTCTAGTGTCAGAGTGTTTAGTGTCTGGGTGTCTGAGTGTCAAGTGTCTGAGAGTCTAGTGTCTGAGTGTCTTGTATCCGAGGGTCTAGTGTCTGAGTGTCTAGTGTCTAAGTGTCGAGTGTCGAGTGTCGAGTGTCGAGTGTCAAGTGTCGAGTGTTGAGTGTCGAGTGTTTAGTGTCTGAGTGTCTAACGTCTGGGTGTCTGAGTGTCAAGTGTCTGAGAGTCTAGTGTCTGAGTGTCTTGTATCCGAGTGTCTAGTGTCTGAGTGTCTAGTGTCTGGGTGTCTGAGTGTCGAGTGTCGAGTGTCGAGTGTCGAGTGTCGAGTGTCAAGTGTCGAGTGTCGAGTTTCGAGTGTCTAGTGTCTGAGTGTCTAGTGTCTGGGTGTCTGAGTGTCAAGTGTCTGAGAGTCTAGTGTGTGAGTGTCTTATATCCGAGTGTCGGAGTGTCTAGTGTCTAGTGTTTAGTATTTGAGTGTCGAGTGTCGAGTGTCTAGTGTCTGAGTGTCGAGTGTCTGAGTGTCTAGTGTCTAGTGTTTAGTGTCTGATTGTCGAGTGTCGAGTGTCGAGTGTCGAGTGTCGAGTGACTTCGAGTGTCGAGTGTCTGAGTGTCTAGTGTCTGGTGTTTAGTGTCTGAGTGTCGAGTGTCGAGTGTCAGAGTGTCTAGTGTCTGGGTGTCTGAGTGTCAAGTGTCTGAGAGTCTAGTGTCTGAGTGTCTTGTATCCGAGTGTCCAGTGTCTGAGTGTCTAGTGTCTGGATGTCTGTGTGTCTAGTGTCTAGTGTTTAGTATTTGAGTGTCGAGTGTCGAGTGTCGAGTGTCTAGTGTCTGAGTGTCGAGTGTCTGAGTGTCTAGTGTCTAGTGTTTAGTGTCTGATTGTCGAGTGTCGAGTGTCGAGTGTCGGGTGTCGAGTGTCAAGTGTCGAGTGTCGAGTGTCTAGTGTCTGAATGACGAGTGTCTGAGTGTCTAGTGTCTAGTGTTTAGTATCTGAGTGTCGAGTGTCGAGTGTCGAGTGTCGAGTGTCGAGTGTCGAGTGTCGAGTGTCGAGTGTCGAGTGTCGAGTGTCGAGTGTCTAGTGTCTGAGTGTCGAGTGTCTGAGTGTCTAGTGTTTAGTATTTGAGTGTCGAGTGTCGAGTGTCGAGTGTCGAGTGTCGAGTGTCTAGTGTCTGAGTGTCGAGTGTCTGAGTGTCTAGTGTCTAGTGTCTAATGTTTAGTGTCGAGTGTCGAGTGTCGAGTGTTGAGTGTCGGGTGTCGAGTGTCGAGTGTCGAGTGTCGAGTGTCGAGTGTCGAGTGACGTCGAGTGTCGAGTGTCTGAGTGTCTTGTGTCTGGTGTTTAGTGTCTGAGTGTCGAGTGTCGAGTGTCGAGTGTCTAGTGTCTGAGTATCTAGTGTCCGAGTGTCTAGTGTCTGAGTGTCTTGTATCCGAGTGTCTAGTGTCTGTGTGTCTAGGGTCTGAGTGTCTGAGTGTCTAGTGTCTGAGGGTCTAGCTTCTGAGTGTCTAGTGTCGAGTGTCAAGTGTCGAGTGTCGAGTGTCGAGTTTCGAGTGTCTAGTGTCTGAGTGTCTAGTGTCTGAGTGTCTAGTGTCTGGGTGTCTGAGTGTCAAGTGTCTGAGAGTCTAGTGTCTATGTCTTATATCCGATATATCTAGTGTCTATATTTGAGTGTCGAGTATCTATGTCTGAGTGTCGAGTGTCTGATGTCTAGTGTCTAGTGTTTAGTGTCTGAGTGTCGAGTGTCGAGTGTCGAGTGTCGAGTGTCGAGTGTCGAGTACGTCGAGTGTCGAGTGTCTGAGTGTCTAGTGTCTGGTGTTTAGTGTCTGAGTGTCGAGTGTCGAGTGTCAGAGTGTCTAGTGTCTGGGTGTCTGAGTGTCAAGTGTCTGAGAGTCTAGT